AACGGTCATGGATAATTCTCTTCCTAGAATTCCAGCCTCGGCGTTCTTCGAAGGTGTGCTCATTCTCACTTTCTCTAGCATCTGTATACCATTGAGTACATCGATGGCTTTTTTGCGTTGTCCTACATATACCCCGATCATTTTTGATCTTTCGCGTGCGAGTTGGTCGAAAGCATCGATGCCAGGCTGGCGGTTGTATAGCATTGGTGCTCCATGAGGCTGGGCAGGATCCAGGCAACTCATAAAATGTTTATTCAAATGAATAGTAATGACGATCTCTATATGGCTTTTCCTCACAAAACTTCCAGAGCCTCTGTTTGAGTGTATGCACATGCTACAGCACATCCGATGATGTAGTGATTCCCCATTGCCTGTACACCAGCGAGGTCTGCCCGCCACTGCGCATCCGATGTCAGTCGCGCCAATAAGTGGAAAAGAAAGCGCAGTCGTATGCATGGACTTGAGCCACCAAACATTACTGTCAGCAGCGGTGAGCTGCATTTCGCCACTCCGTAGACGAAGAACAATGTGCACAATGCCTTGTGTAAGTGATTTGGGGGGATCGTCGGCTAACGCGATATTCCAGCCAATCGGCAGCAACTGCCCTCTGGTTCCGCCTGCCATTCCCAGGCGGGTGCCGCTAACCCTGTAGACGAGCTTTCATACGCCGCTATGGTTTCTTCATCCGACTCTTATCATCTATCGTGTTCTCGATTCATCTTTAAGAATGTCGTTCGTTTCCCTTGCGCGCCCCATCACTGACTCGTACATGCTCTAGACGGCCCTTTGGCGAAATTGCACGATCTGGCTGCCCCAGTCCTGAGAGCATCTGCATGTAATCATACCCGAGAAAATCAGCACTACACATCACGCCTCCCTTGCATAGTCACGACACCACAACGCTCGGAACCCATACGACGGTCTACGGACGCATCGTTAGTCTACATTCAATTCACCTGGCGAAATTTCGCGATCCATGCATCTAGCCCATACACCATGGACGGCTCAGCTATCACATACGCAACGTCCAAGGACTGGCTGGACATTATGAAGAATCGGTCAAAAGTGCGTATGCACGAGCTGATCGAGCGTCTTGGACTGCGCGCAAAGTGGTCATCGAACAAACGCGGTAAAACAAACTTTGAATCCGCCCTCGTACGCGAGCTTGTTGCAGACATGGGCGATGTTGTCTCCACGTTACCGAAAGAGCCGGATGAGCTGATGAAGTTTCTGAGCGACGAGGGAAGTTTGAAGGAGCAAGTCGATGGCTTGCTTGAGAAACATGGCGCCAAGGTCTGGGGAAGAGTGGGCGATCGCGAGCACCTAATCACCGCGAATGAACCCGGAGTCGAAGAGGGACTTTACCCGCGGGATCTTTACTTGGAGAACGAGGAAGACAGAGCATTGTAAGTACATAAGTTTGAGAGCAGATCAATCGCGAATTTGGGCCATCGCAATACAGCCGAATAGCTACTGACCCACCACGCAGAATTCACAAACTTCTCCATTGGTGGATCGGGCTGAAGGCATGCAACGTCATTCTTGCGCGCGAACGCCTGGATCGCGAGAGACGAAAGAAGGCAGAAAACCGCCAGGCGCGAGCTGATGCCGAGTTTTCTGGCCAGCAAGAGGGCGGCACGCCCGCATCATTTGTTGCGCTTGCGCCAAACTCGGTGTTGCACGACGGCGATACAGCGTCACGTGGAAGCCCAATGTCGTCAAGTGCAATGCTGACACCTCCGGAATCTGGGGAAAGTCCCACTATGGGACCGCGGGAAGGAGGTGGGTTTACAGCTGTCAATGGCGGTGGACATGCAACGAATGGCAATGCCGCCTTTACATCGGCGAAAGCCCACGAACAACAGGCTACACAACAATCCAACATCGCCGAGGGTGTCTGGAACAAACTCACAGCTGAAGCGAACAAGTCTCGATATCTCAGTACGATGTCAGGCCCTGCTGCTACCCACGCTGCACATCCTACCGAGACCAAAGCAGCGGCACAACAGCAAATCACCGACGCGACCCAAGCGGCAGCTGATCGACAAGTCAGCGTTCAAATGGCCGCGCTGGTAGCAAGCTTTCGGTCAGATGACGGTGTGCCAGAAGAGCTCCCGCAACCAAACAACAGCATACCCTACCGTGGTTTAGACTATGACGGCTTACGGGCGCTACGACAGTACATATATGGAGAAGAGCGAGGTATTTCAATGGATGAGGAAGCGCTACTCAACCAACTCGAAAGAACATGGCGAGAAGGCGTTCGAGCCGACTACAACAAGATGATCGAGAACATTCCCGTCTTCATTGCGAGGGAACGAGCATTTCTGACTTGGGTGGAACTTAAGCGCCACCTGGCAGCTCTGTTACGAGCAAACGAACGTACGTTTTACCAACTGCATTTGCATCCATTCTATCTATACTTATCCTACTGCAGGTTGGTCAGCCGAAGGCCACACAGCCGCCGAGATCGAGAGGCGCATCCAACAGCACCGCACGCTCATGGGCTGCACGCAAACTATCATCGCCAATTTTGAAGACGTGGGTCGAGGATTTGGTCTCGGCCCCAATGTCGCTGTCGACCGCGATGAGCTCCTGCGACAGGCTATCGTGGTGTTGGCCGGAGAAAAGTACGCAGTAGAGATGCAGTGGAAGCCAGTAGACTTTACGCAAGTAATGGGCTGGCTGCACGACCACCTGGAGAGCTTCCGCAAAGAAGAAGAGGAAGATGGAAAGGGTATGCTCTGGTACATTGGCGAGTCACGACGCTAGTCACAACTACCACGATGGAAATGCGCACGTATCGTGCGCGCGGGCAGCTGTAGTCGCAAAAACTGTGTACGAGGATCATACAGGCGTTCAGGTTTTCAGGGCGACGATCGATCGCCAGGGTCGAGGCCCCCACTAGTAGGTGTCCAATTCGGGAAAATAAGCTATTCGGGTAGGTCAGCCGTAGAGTGGTGGTTTCAGCTACTTGATCATGTTACAGGACCGTGTAGGATTACACTAGCTCAGCTGTGCCACACCTCATCACCATGCAGTACGGGACTCTGCGACGCGTGATTTGCTTTAGTTTGCGATCGCCTGGAACGCGCGAGCGCATAGTGAGGGCGCGACTGTACGCAACTTCGATAGTTCGGCAGCTAGTATCCGAATGAATACACGGCTCGGCAGCACTTCGCAGTATACCTTTTCGCTTAGTGTATTCCCTGCAGCCAAGGGGCGTTGTCTTCAGGCTCCGCACTGCGCCGTAAATCTCCCTAATGCCACGTTCCTATTTTAGAGTGCAGGCAGTGACCGCGCCGCACATTCGTCACATTGCCTCACATTTTTTTTCTTTCGAGCTGTGGCGTTTATCAGATCTCGCTGTACCTCCCATCAATATTATGCGGCGCGCGGTCTGGACAGGAACCGGTCGCACAGTTGAGTAATCGCAGCTCGGTAGTACAAATCTATGGGTGAGGGACGAGCGCGTCATAGATGCATGTGTAGTTGTAACTCCTGACCATGATACCAACGACATCTATCCCCGGCTATACGAAACCGTGATAGTGCCGCTTATTCGCTGATTGCATGTGGCGGCTAATGGAGGCTTTGAGTAAGAGGATCGGATGTTTTGGCCTATGCGAGTAAGAGTTGTGCTGCTAGCGACATATTCATTTGTACCTCGTGTATGATGATTGACCCCTGCGATAGATATGATTAGCATAATGCAGCAAATGAGCACCACGCTCATAGTGCAAGTGTCGTACAATGAACAGGCAAGGGCAAAGGAGACCCGCTGGGTGTGAACGAATGAGGATGGGGCGGTACTATGATTACACCTGATGGGGATTTATTGGCGTGCGAGTCATTAACTTCGGAGTGCGGACGCGTATTACCTCTGCACATGTTTTGTTGCGGCCCCTGCCGGATCATTGTCTCGCTACTGGACACACCTCTTTTCTGGGTATCTTTTCGACGCAGCGTACCGTCGTTCGCCTTCTACACGTCACCGGCATCAATCATCATCACCAATCCTTCTTTCGCCGCCCAACGCCCCTCTCTCATCAGCGCCTGTCGGTTCCTACTCCAGAGTACAATTGCTGCGCAGTTTGTTCTTCTTGTGTGTACAGGGGCATTCAATTCTTTGTCTAGTTTGGTAGCACGATCGGCATCTGAGACTGGACAAAGTTTTTCTTGGGGTAGCAGCAGCTGGCAATAAGAAAACTTTGTTCCAAGACGGCCTAGTGGAACGTACTCCTTTTACCTTTGCCGAGCGAGCTACCATCAATCACCCCAACCTTGGAACGTCGAGAGCGGATCCATCACACTTTGGCGCACGCGCCATTGATTGTCATTCCCCATCCCATCCGCTTACTTTTCCATCGTCATTTTCCTACTTCCCATTTCAACTGTTGACGTGCCCGTCGTCACCCATGTGGCGCCATGAGCTCAAAGGATAACTTGGCCCTGGATCTCGAGCACGGCGTGCGACGCTGGGATCGCGCTCGCTGGATATCCGTCTTCAGCTCGCATAACCCGACTATACGCGAGGTGACGGAATGCTTGGGCCTGGGCTTATCGGCGTCTTCGTCCACGACCAACCGCGGCATTCCGAAATTCGACAACCCAGACTACCGCAAGCTCTCGAGTGAGGTGACGAAGCTGTCCAAGGAATTGCCAAAAGAAAGAGATTTGTTGCTGGATTTCGCGGCGGATCCGAGTTCCCTGAACCAGGAGCTCGAGGACCTGCTAGCGAGTTACGGACCCGCTATTTGGGGCAGGGATGCGGATCGCAGCTGTTTACTCACGCCGGATGCGACCAAGAAGACGTATAACAAAGATCTGTTTTACGAGGAGCCGGAGCATAAGGATATGTAAGTTGGAGTGGTCAGGTGTCAGGTGTCAGAATGCGCGCTAAACCTATTTTAGTCTCAAGATTCATCTGCATCGGTGGATCATCATCAAAGCTTGCTACTACATTCGCAACATGAAGTTGAAGAGACCATCGGGTGCGAATGAGTATGATCAGCTTGCCGATATCGATGCCGAAGGCCTTGTAAGTTTTGATGAGATGGTTGGTGTTGTCATGGCTAATTCAGGGTAGTCACCACATGGGACGCCACAGTCACTCACCCCACCAGATCCGGATACTGTTGCAGGCGCTGGCCTTGACGTTAAACCCATTAATCTAAAGAAGCGCAAGAGCAATGCTCACCTCACCATGTCCGACGATGAAGATCCTGAGGCTTCGCCTATCAAAAGGCCTTACAGCACTATGCCGGTGAGCCGAAAGGGCAGCCCAAGGAAGTCACTCAAGTCACTCTATCCTGCAGGCCCGGGCAGCATGGAGAACATTCCTCCCATGCCGACTCATATGCATCGTTTCTCACCAGCACCAGGAACCGCGTCTGAACCCTCGCGGATACAGCTCAGTCCTCTATCTAACAACGACTTGAACGGCGTGTCAAGGCCTCCTGCTATCACTCAAAGCTCCGCGCCCGCAGGCTTCACGGCTGTCAACAATGGAGGTTTTACTGCTGTTAACAACACGCCTCCACCTAGCGAGCCACCTCGAGAGCCAACACGGGAAGCATCCAGAGAACCGTCGAGAGAAGTACATCGACCCCCTCCTGGTATTGGACATCGTCACAGCAACAGTTACACGAGCCCATATGAGCCGTCTTCACGCAGTGCTGCCATGGCTCGATCTGCTACGGAGACTCCTCGTTCTGCACCGCCAGCCACTCCTACACCAGCTTCGAATCAAGGGTTTCAAGCAGTGAACGCATCTACAGCAGCTAATGGGGCAGGTGGATACATGAAGAGGGAGTCTCCTGCCGTCCAGCCTCAGCATACACAGATCGCTCCGCAGCCACAGCAGTCGCAACCGCAACCTCAAGCACAACCACAGCAGCAACAGACACCGTCCCACCCTTCACACCCACACCAGGCATCACCGCATACACATCATCCTCAGCATACACAGCTACCGTCACATCCGCATATTCAGGCTCAGCAACAGCCTCCACCCCAACCACCAAGTCGATCTAATACCCCGAGCCACCCCTTCGGCCGTTCTCTCGCACCACACCCTCGCAGTAGATCTAGTACACCACATGCGCAGGCCGCACCTAATCAGCCTATCATGGCACCTAATAAGCAGGTTACCTCTGCCCCCGCGATACAAAGCGCCCCCGCATACGGCATACAACTCGTTCCTACTACACAAGACGCACCGCCCGCGCCCTCGAGCAAACCCCGAGCCCCCTCAAACCACAGCCAGCCCGCCGCCGCACCTCAACACACCTCACCGCACCAACCCGTGCTGAAAAGCCACCAACAACCGCCTCAACCCCCCGAAACCGCACACGTTGTCCAGCCCCCACAACCCCAAACCTTCCCCCGCGGCTCCGTCTCGACGGCCGACCTCCGCCTCCTCCAATGCGAAGTCACCGCCGGCCTCTTCACCTTCTTCTACCCACGCTCCACAATGCCGCCCGACGAAGCCAGCCTCCTCGTCCGCATGCACACACTCTGGTACCACGGCGAGCCGCTCTTCCGCACCGAACTATCCACACACTACGATCTCGTCTCCAAGATCCTCACTGCATGGCTACACGAGCGTCAAGCCATCGCTTCACTACGGCACAGCATGGCTGCCAACCCGGGTGTGTCTCACATTGGCCTTGTAGACCGGTTGCTGGCTATGAACGATCTTAGGGCTATGCGGTTGAAGTGGAAGAATATGAGTAGTATTGATGGATTGAGTCCTGAGGATCTGCTTTGCATGGCTTTGAAGGTTATGACGAATACGGAGGGGAGCGAGTATATGTTTAAAGATGGTTTGGCGAGGCTGGAGCTGGGTGTGTTTGAGTTTTTGAGGAGCGAGGATGCGAAGATTGTTATGCAAAGGAGGGATACGAGGGCGGGGTGATGTGAAATCGCGGGGTTTGGGGTGGTTCTCTGACTGCTTTCCTCCCTCTGTTCGTCTCTCCATCTTCCCCCCATTCTCTGTTTCTTTGCTTCTGCGATCGACTTCGGTTCCCGTACCCGTTCGCATGCCATTTCTCTTTCTCGATTCCGATCTTTCGCTTACACTTTGTACTAATGCCACTTAGCGTGGGTGGATGGGAGTCCTTGCGCATGTTCCTCTCGTTTTCTGGCGTTGTACTTGCTTTTAAAACGTATTAGCGATGGCGTTTGGGATTACCTCTTTCGTTCGACAATTTCTTTTTCTGTGTTCAATACGAAAAGCGGGTTGTGGGTTTCGATATTAGCTTGTGTTACTAAATTGGTATGAATAGTCGTTGTAATCGGGTGGTGGGATCGAGATTGGGGTGTGTGGTAATGATTGTGCGATGCGGAGTAGAACAATTGACTGCAATCGGAGAATGAAGCTTGTATTAATCAGTCACAAAATGAATATACCCAAGCTGTGAATGAAAACGTTTTGTGTGATGCTGTACCCGACGAGACTCCATCTTCCACTCGCGCAATGACCAGATGCGATCATCCATTGGCGGTCTGGACCTATGAGGTCGTCTGACCACACGTCCTCACGTGCACCGCTCCGACCCCGGCCACAGCGCATCATCGCGAGTTCTCGCCCACCCATCCCGACTAAGACACAACGACACCCTCTTCACGCGGCCTCGCCCCTTGCGCCCCCCTTCAGCCTTGTCATGCGAACATAGCAGGGATTAAACCTGTCCCGCTGCGATGCGCCTTCCCGGCGGCCGCCCGCCGTAGCTGCTTCCGGAACCTTGTTCCTTCACATCTGCCTCATGACACCCTCCAGGCGCGCCAATCCGGGCACTCACCGGTAGTGCCCGCGCACCTTCACTGCCATGAGCGGCCTCGTGAATGCCCCACGCGCTCGCTGCAGCCGCACACTATTTTATAGCCGTGTACCGTGGACAGCAAGCATATGATTCCACACTCTATCGCTTATCTTGTACTACGCGCGTAGTTTGGGCGCCATGGTGCTGAGACTCTTTGGGCCGCCTGGTATGTCTCGCCGAAGACGATGTGGAGAAGTAGTTGCTAACGAAACGTATAGCCGAAGGGCAGCATCGCCTTACTCCTAAACGCCCTGATCCCATCGGTGCGAATGCAACACCTCAGTACGCCGTCATCTCCTCGACCGTCCTTGCCGCCGCGTATACGTCCTTCGCCTCGAGATATGCACAAAGTGTGACCCCTACGAGGCCGATATCGCGGCCAGCGGTGTTTATACGGGCTTCGGCAAGGCTGGGGGTTTGGGCAGGCGTGGCTGGAGCGGCGCTGAACTGGTATTACCATTCTTCTTTTGCGAATGTCCTGGCGTCAACGAATATACCGGAAGTCAAGCCCTGGAAGCTGTACGAGCGGACGAAGAAATATACCGTTGACGATGGTGCTCTGGCAGGTGCAGCATTGGGGCTGGCTGTCTCAGTGCCTTCGCTGTTCATGCGCCGGCCTGCTGTACCCAGGTGGACGCGCTGCTTAGGCATGACGAATGTCGGCGCTTGCGCAGGTGTTCTGGGAGCGCATGCATACTTTCAGTACAGCGGAGAGAGGCAGGAGGCATACAAACTGTTTGGTCGACATGTCAAGCGACGGTCCTTCGAGTTCTGGAGCATCTTCTGGGATCCGGAGCTCATGGCGAGCCTCGACCCCATCATGCAGCAATACGTCTCACACAACAGCCTCTGGTACACACGGTGGCTGTCAGAGGAGGCCTTTGAGCGAGCAGAACAGGACGCGCAACTCGAAAACAGCAGTAGTGAGCCTATGGCAGATGCTGCAACACCTGTCGAGCAACAGCCACCATTCTACACTACACCCTTCGACTATGCCGAAGACCTGCGACGCATCGATATTGAAAGCACGCTGGCTACTATGCAAACCATGGAAGCGGACAAGAGGGAACTACTCCGGGAGGCCGAATACCTGCTTTATATAAACGCACAGCAAAAATACGACCACTGCCACATGGGGTCTACGGACGAGGATGAACGTCAAAACCTCCTCCGACAAATCCAACTCGTCGACATAGCATACGTCAGTCTTCGCAACACAGCCCACGACATCGACGTCAAGCTCAAACAATGGCGCATTAGCCTCCGACACAAAACCATCTGGGAAGCAGGCCAAACCACCGCGACAGGGACGGATAGGCTTGTCGACTGGGCACCCGAGCCGCAATGTATATCACCTCCGACCGAAGCCATAGTCCCCGCCACACACAAACCGACATACTCAATGGGCGAGTTAGAAAGAATACATGGGCAGATTTCTGGAGAGGTCAAGACATTTGAGGATGGTTGGAAAGACGATAGACAACCGAGGGATAAGAGGGAGAGGTGGAAGAAGGATGCTGAGGATGGGAGAAATTTTTTGAGAGCGGCGGATGTTGTGTTGTTACGGTTGCAGAAGGCGAGAGAAAGGGTTGACGACAGTGGTGTGGTCGTAGAAGCGGGGGCCGATGGCGCGATGGCGATGAAAGAGAAAGAGGGAGAGGATAGACATGGGAGGAGAGATGGTACTGTTCCGGCAACAACGGCTGAAGTCGCGGAGTTACAAGAAGGTCCCTTGCTTACTAGAAAACAGGTTGAGAAGGCGAGTACGCATGGAGTACAAGGGACGAAAACGTCTGCTGGGGCTTTGGATAAGGACAAGTCGTGAGAATGGACTTACAGGGTAGAGTTGGGTTTACTATTCATTGTCCAAGTTATGGTTGACATGGTACGGAAGACATTGTACCAGAAGCGAGGCATCGAGCCAGTCAACACTGGTTGTGTGTGGCTCTGCTGTTGATGATTGTGTAGTATGCATTTGGCTTGTCCTTTTGATGATGGATTGAGAGGGCGCTGGACGTCTCGTCAGGTGGATGTCTATGTATGTGGTGTAAGTCACTACTATTACTCATTCTTCCACCTCTTCATCATATTACTTATCTGCCTCGAGGTCACTCTTATGAGTTCAGCATGGCTGAATATCAGTCTTCCCTTCTTTCATCGCATCTTCCTCTGGGTGTCCTTATTCACGTTCATTCCCACAACTACATTCCTCACCCCCCTCTCGAACGCCGTGTCACCAGATTTCCTAGACTCTACGTCCGTCTCCGAGATCTGGGCCGCGCTCGCGCAGGTGTTCACATCACTGCCCGGCTCGCCGGAGCGTCACGCTTCCGCTCAATATATCGCCACTGCAGTCGCCAAGCGGATGGCATGAGGAGAGCTGTTCCGGGGGCGACTACTTGGCTATACCCCAGGGTAGAATCGTGACATTCGAGATGATCGAGTTTGGGAGATCAAGATCGTAGCCAGAAGATATCTGTATTGCACCTTGTGCTTTTACTTCAGCATCTCTATATTCACGAAAGCAATGAATGCACCACTCCACTTCAGCCCCATCTTCGGCCCTTCACCTTAGCCACTGGGAATTTACCACAAAAGTCTACATATTAGTACCGGCTCTAACCGCGTTTGAACCTAGTGCTAGCGTAAGCTGCACTGTCCATCTTGTCTCCCAGCCCTGTCTGTACCAATGTACTGCTATCGCGTCGTCGATCTCGATATACCAGCATGATTGCAACCGGCGATTTGGTTCTCGGGGTTTTGATTCCCACCATCGCAATCACAATCATGATGACCGGCAGTTCCCTTGTCTACCGTGAGATCAGCGCACCTGGACAATGTCAGCTTGAAACAGGGACAGCTCAGCTCGAACCTTCCATCAACGTACCTAATGTACTCATGTTTGTCCCGTCAAACGGTCTCTAGCTAACCGCGCAATCTGCACTCCATTCAAGAGAGCAGGAATACGGAACCAGCTAGCTGTGTGAAGTTAGCAGCACGGTTCAATCGCGGCTTTACAACTGAAGGAATGAGGGAGGAACCACTGTTAATACAAAACGCACGCGCACTAGACTTCGGGTTATTACTCATGCGACGTGTGCGTGCGCAGCAGCAGCCCCCATAGCTTCTGGACCGGAGTGGTACATAGGCGATATATATACGCTTGCGTCCCGTTGCGCGAGGCTGGCTGGATATCTTCGGATTTTTGGATGACCACTACACGTTCGTTAAAATTAAGATAGCGATCATGAGACTCTTCGCCCCCATTATCCTCGCTCTCGCCGCCGCGTCGGAAGCCGCGTTTTGTAACGGCGGATGGGGTTTACCGGGTGGTTCTACATGTCCTGGCGCCTACGTAAGTCTAGTCCGAATCCCCTCCTCTCCTCCTCTCCTCCTCTCCCTTCTCCCTTTCCCAAAAAACCATCCTCTTCAAAACATAACAACTGCTAACACATCTCCCAGCCAAACTCCTTCTGCGTAAGTCCCCAACACCAACAACAGCAACAACCACGCAAACGAACCCAGTTTCAACCTCTAACATGACATATGTGTGCAGTGCCAGAGCCCTGGAGCGCCGAGTAGGAACTTTCCTACGTTTAGGAATTGCGTTTACCCTGGTAGTGGGGGGAGGCCGAGTTTGAATGGGTGTGGTGCTGGTGGTGTAAGTGAATTGGTTCTGTGTATTGTGGAGAGGATGAGGCTAACGTTTTGGTTGGGTAGACTATTAGCTGTGTAAGTGATAAAGTGAGGGTTAGGAGTGATGGTGTGCTAATGATTTTAGTGTGGTTAATTTCGTCGCTTGACGTGAACCATCACTGTCGTGTCGTTTTCGCGAATTGTTTCCTCGGGGTTGCTGCTCGAGCAGACTTACCATTAGACATTAGACTTCAACTATTTAATAGATTGCGCTGTGTTACTTCGTTGCAATATACATACCTTCCGGTTCTGAGCTGGGTGGACTCCTGCGTGAGAGTGTTTTGAAGGTCGATGAACTGACCACAGTCAACGTCTTCTCCAAAACCACGTCGAGAGGAGACCATGTCCTTGTCGATAATCATACCATCTGGTCTATTTGTGACTAGCTTGGCATTCAGCGCGTATAAAAGCCTTAGTCTAGGCCCTCTACTTCTCCTCCTCAAACCATAAACTTCCTGTCTATTTTACCAAAAGCGGCATCAAGCTGTATTATGTCCTTTCTGTTCTGTCCAAAAGGCAGGACCGATAAGACCCATGAGAGCTTTTCCGAGATTCGAAAACTACGTCGATGTATTACTCCAAAAAGATCGACATCATCCCGATGACCATGTCTATCCCCTTGTCTTCTGTCATGCCGACTAGCTTGATGTTCAGTGGGTATAAAAACCACTTATTCCGGCTCCTCACTTCTCTTTCCTACACACTTAACTTCCTGTCTTCAAACTCAAAAACATGAACACATGGATCAATGTCTGCTCCGTTCTTTCATAACAAGAAATATGAGGACCCATGTCCTCTTTTCCAAAATCCGAGCCCGGGTCCGATGTTAAAATCGAAAATTACTGAAACGGAACACATGGTTGTGTGTGCGTCCAAAACACTATGGCAAGCAACGGATGCAAAGAAGGCTGTTTTCTCTGTTCATCGCAAGCCTCTGGATTTGCTGGTACTGTCTGCTGTGCCATTGACTAGCTTGATCTTCGGTAGTTATATAGATTCTCTTCCAGCCCCGTACACTCCACCTTCATGTACTTTCAAACTCTTGACCTCTGAACCAATGATTCAACCGCATATTCGGATGACTGTTTCGTCCTCTCGAAAGCAACACCGGAAAACCTGATGTTGTTTCCTGTCGTCTCCTGACTTCATAGGACTCGAGCCCGGAAAAAGTCATTAGTTCTGTTCATGTCCGAGGGTGCATTCAAACAACGAGAGTGCGTATCGATGTGGGAAACTTTGTCTTCTCCCCACATAGCAATCCTATTACATTTACACTACTTCTAAAACACGAACGCGGCCCAAGACCCAATTACCCTCCTCCAAAATCTATCATACACATCCCACTCACTTCACCTCCCAGTCTTCCCTCACACTCCACCTACTTCGCGCAAGCCTGTCCTCTGGCCGCAGCAAGGTTCTTCTGATTCTGCATCGTCCCATCCATAACCTCCTGAACCAACATCGCAATAACCGGCGCATCCGCGCCCGTCCCCTTCAGACTCTGCACCTGGCCAATCTCCTTGGTCTGGGCCCCAGCAACAATAGCCAGGCCATCAGCAGCAGGCGACTTGATCTGAGCGGCGAGCTTCTGGTTGTTGGCGCGGATGTCGACGCCTCGCTTTTGGATGGATAGCACGGATTGCTGGGTCGTGTTGAAGCCCGCGGTGCCGGCTTGGAGCTTTAGGGCGTAGACGCTGAGGGGATGTTAGAGATTGTATGTGTGGGAGAGAGAATGTGTGGCTTACCCTTTGAGTTCGGCGGCTTGAATGTCGAGGTTGGCTTGGATGCCCTTTGCGAGCTTGGACTGAATGTCGGCGCAGTTGCCGCCAGCTCCTTGGCCAGCTTGGGGAGCTTGACCCGCTTGAGGGGCTTGGCCAGCCTGGGGAGCTTGGGGTGCCTGGGGAGCCTGAGCAGGACGAGGGGCCTGCGGTGCCGGAGGAGCTTGAGGAGCCTGCGGCGCTTGTTGAGGTGCCGGTGCAGCGAGAGCGGCACCAAGGAGGCAGAGGATGGCGAAGGTCTTCATGTTGACGTTTGTATAAACCGAAAGAGGCAATATATAGTATTAGAATAAAGATGAATGATGTTCAAAGAATGTGTGGAAACTAAAAGCAAGCTCACACCAGGTGAGTAGCGATCGTAAGAAGTAGGCGAAGTATGTGAGAGATGATTTGGAATGAACACTTCCATCCTTCGACATCCCATCCCTCTCTTATACCTCCATCTCACCTCTCCCGTCCCGTCCCAACTCACCCGCCCAATACGTCGGCACGTCAGCAAACTCGGACCGACACAACTCTCATCACCTCGCCACGCAACGCTCTCACAACATGCACCTCAGCACCACCACCCTTCAACCTTATCCCCTCCCTCTACCTACCCGCCGGAAACGGACCTTCTTCACATCTCTCCATCTCTCCCATCTCAAGGAGAACAATTAATGCGGAGTTTCCAACTCTTCCCTTCGATTCGCGCGGTGGAAAAAAATTGGAGACGGCCGTGAGACGGGAAACGGGGGAGTCAGCGTCGCAGATCTGGAGTGGAAACAAATCGGGCCGTGGTGGGCCGGTGCGATGGGGCGCACGAGGCTTGTGAAAGCTTGTCAGATGGCTGAGCGAAACGTTCGAGAAGGTGTTCGAGACGTGTTCGTGATGGGTTGACGTGTGCGGGATAGAGTTGGGGATGGTGTGGTGGCGTTTGAGGATGCGGGTGGGCGGAGGGAACGGGGCTAGGCTGTCTTGGGCTGGCGCGGGGTTTTGGGTGCGCTTATTTCGAGGCCGCTGCGTCTTCTTCTGCATCACTACAACACTTGAGCGCTCTTTAAAAACCATCAAAATTTAGATATGCACGATTCATGGTTGGGCCGTTTGACCTGAAGTTACTGCTACCTTTTACACGCGCATATCCTCTTCACTCAAAACCATCATCGAACAGCCCATGGCGCTGCTGAGCTGCGTATCTCATACCACTCTACATCAACTCAACTATCCAAACATCATGAACGAGTTGCCATGTCCTGTTTTCTGTCTTCCGACCAGCACTTCCTGCTTGCGCGCGGCATGCACTCTTACCATTTCCATGACGCTACTGCCGCGAGAACTCTATAAAGCCGTCCTTCCATACTCCCCTCTA